CCTAACTTCCCTAGTGCCCTAGCCAGCACGCTTATCTGCCACTTGTACATATTTATAATATCACAGTATTGCATTTATATTAGAGGCCTTTCTACACAGAGAGGCATGCTGTTGGATTTAAGGTGGTTTCATTTGGCTTTTTTTTTTCCTTTTTCCTTTTTTGGTGCTGGGGATTGACCCAAGGCCTTGCACATGCTAGGCAAGTGTTCTAACCAGAGCTGAGTTGCATTGCATTTTTTTAAAAAAACAGGGTCTGTGTTAGCTTCAGCCTCCCGAGTGCTGGGGTGACAGGCATGTGCCACTATGCTCAGCTTATTTTTTATATTTGAGAAGGGGGTCTTGTAAGATTGGCAGAGAATTCCTGGGATCTTTTGTGCCTTGGGCCCTCAAGTACTGGGACTACAGGTACACATCACTGCACTGTTTCTTGTTTTTTTTTAAATCATTGTGAATCTGACTTTAAGCAATGGGCACCTGGAAGAAGGCCAGTCTGCAGCTTGAGAGAGGTCTGCCCCACGTCCAGCCTGGAGTCTGCTTGCTGTAAGGACCAACTTGAGTCACAGGGGCACTGGCTGCCAGAGATGCTAATGAGGTAGGCTGCAGCCCCAGCTCTGGGCCCTGGGCCTATCAGGTGCCTGGCCTTTCCCCCAGTGCTAGTCCTTGAGGCTGAGACTGTTTTAGGAAGGCTGGGCCTGACGTGTGACTTCCCACCACCCCGTTAACCAGGTAAAGGTCCCCTCCATGAAGGAGCAAGCTCCTCCCAGGCTGCTCCGCGCAGGCTCTCTGCTAAGCGCTTAAGAGGGATCAAGCCAGCGTCATCTGCTCCTGTCATCTCCGTTTTTTACAAGACATACTAATCCGAGGCTCAGAAAAGGCTCAAACCCAGCAAAGGGAAAAGCTGTCTCAGAAGTGGCTGAGGCCTGTACGCGAGGAGGCTTAAGCTTGTCTGGAGGGCTTCTTGGAAGAGGTGGCATTTTGTGGCTCTGTGAGCCATACCGCTGGGAGAACGGACCGCCTGGCTCCCCACGGCAATCCTGGTGCAGCGCACAGCCATCACGAGGGGACAGGTGTATGTGGGGGAACAGGGCACTAGACCTCCCCCAGACCTCCAGCCTAGCCCCGAGTGACCACTCCCTGGGGTTCCGCCTCCAGGGTGCACCGCGGTGGTCGCCCCTTTTATGGACTTGAGAATTAAGGCAGCCCAACGAGGGCAGTGGGTGCCGGAACCAGAGTCTGGAGGCCGGTCGGTGTCCCGGGAACCGTGCGGGAAGGTCCACTCCGGCGGGTTCCGACTTTACAGTCCGCCTAAAAATCGAACGCCCCAGCCCCCTCAACCTGACCGGCGACGAGACACAGGGCGCCTGCGCAGTCGGAACGCTCTCCCAAGGGCGCTGGGGCGTGGCGGCGGCGACGCGCACGCAGGACGTGGGGGGCGTGGCCAGAGAGCCGGCGCCCCTGACGGGCTGTGCCGCGCGGGGGCGGGGCAGCAGGCAGTCCTGGGCGGGGCCTCGAGGCCGGTTTGGAATTTTTGGCGCGAGCGGTCTCCGCGCGCGTTCACGGGCCGTTCCCCTTCTGAGAGTCCTTCACGCCGGGGTCCGGAGCCGCCGCCGGCAGACCCCGGCCTGCCTGGCCTCCCGCGATCTCCGCCGACCCGGAATCTGGGACTTCGCTGCTGTGCTGCGCCCCGCCCGACCGCCTCAGGTGAGGCGAGCCCCTGCCCGCTCTTCCGCCCTCTGCCCCGCGCCCCCGCACAGCTCTTGGCCCCCTGACGGCCCCCTCCTCGGTCACCCCCCACCCACTTCTCCTCCGCCAGCCCCCTCCCTCCGGGGTCCGTCCTCCCCCGAGGCGACCCCGCCCCTCCCCGGCCAGGACGGCCGCGGAGGCCCCGCCCACTCCCCGGAGCCCCTGCCCGGTGTCCTGCGCCCCTTTTCTCCGGGGGCCACCTCCCCAGCGCTGACCCCCGGCGCTCGCCGCTCGCTGGGTGCGAAAAGACCCTCCCGCCTCTGCCCCGCGACCACCCGCCTCCCAACCGTTCGCCCACCCAGCAAACTGAGCCGCAGCCCTGCCCGTGGTCAGCACACGTGTCCTAGCCCGGGGGAGGACGCGGCCCCAAGCCCCTGGGTTCAGCGCTGAGGTTGTCTGGCCCGGCCGGTGCTGTTAGATCGTAAGCGACTCTAAGTGGCACTGGGCGGGTCCTGGCTCCCTGCTTCCCCGCGTAGAGAAGCCCGGGGGGGGGGCAGAGGAGGCGCCCCGGGAATGTAGGGGAGCCTCCGGTCAGGCCCCTTAGCGCCCCTGCTCCCCCTGCTCGCTCCTTGAGCCACCAATCCCGCAGTCACCGCGCACCGCGGCCAGGTGTGGGTGACATCTTCTGATACATTGTGGCCTCCTCCCCAAATTGACTCTTCCTCTCTCTTGCTCTCTCGTTTTTCGTTCAGTTACCACATTGTAGCACCGCCACAACCCTCTCTGCCCCAACACACAGTCACCCACACCATTTTTGTGTCCCTTCAGTGACTACCAAAGCGTGGTTTATGACACCAGTTAGCATTTCGGCCAGATACCAAGCTACCTCCTGCCTGGTGTCTGTCCACAGACTCCTGGCACAGTGCACTCCAGAACTACAATGCCTCAGATGGAGACCCTCCTATGACCCACGGGGCATATGCTGTGACGCCACTCACGCCTGAGACAGTGTTCCAAGGTCAAACACACCGACGTTTCCGCGAAGCAGTGTGTGACTGTCTACACTGAGAGAAAGCAGTAGCCCCCTCAGATGTCTGACAAGTTAGCTTTCCTGTAACTCTTCGCTGCTCTCGGCGCCATTTGTTGAAAAGACCCTCCTTTCCCGTTGAGTTGTACTGGCATCCTTGATGCAAATCAGTGCACTGCAAGCGTGAGGGTCATTTCTGACTCGCTCTGTTCCATCTGTATGTGTGTGGGTACTACACCGTCTTGATTACTACTACCACTTTACAGTGAGTCTTGAAATCCTGAGGTGCTAGACCTCCAACTTTGTTCTTTTTAGACATTGTTTTAACTTTTTGGCTCTCTTGACTTTCCATATGAATTATAGGATCAGCTCATTATTTTCTGTAATGAAGTCAGCTGGGATTCTGACAGGGATTGCTCTGAATCTATAGACCAGTTTGGTTAGAGAGAGTTTTTTGTTGTTTTTGTGGGTTTTTTGGAGGATTTTTTCCTGCACTGGAGATTGAACCCCAGGCCTCACACATTCTGGAGAAGTGTTCTATCACTGAGCTACACTCCCCTCCAAAGTGCACAATTTGGAGAATATTGACATTTTGTCTACAGTAAATCTTTGGATATATGAGCATGTAATATCTTTCCATTTACTTAGACCTTTGGTTTGTTTATTTATTTATTTTGGTAAGTGGGGATTGAGCCCACTTTGCAAATGCCAAGCACATGCTCCACTATTGTGCTATAATCCCCAAACCTCTACCCTTCTTCTTCTTTTTTTTTTATTTTCTTTTTTTTGAGGTACTAGGGTGTGAACTCAGGGCCTACACCTTGAGCCACTCCACCAGCCCTTTTTTGTGATGGATTTTTTCGAAATTGGGTCTCATGAACTTTTCCTGGGGCTGGCTTCTAACAGTGATCCTCCTGATCACTGCCTCCTGAGTAGCTAGGATTACAGGCATGAGCCACTGGTACCCGGCCCCTCTTTTTTCTTTTTTTTTTTTTCTCCTCTCTCTCTCTCCCTCCTTTCCTTCCTCCCTCCCTCCCTACCTCCCTCCCTTCCAACAGGGACTCCCCATGCAGCCAAGGCTGGCCTCCAACTCTCAATCCTCCTGCCTCAGCTTCCACAGTGCTAGGATTACAGAAGTCCACCACCATGCCCAGCTCCACATCTAATAGCTCATCACTAAAACTTCATTGACTTTGAGAGTATTTTTAGCTATGAACTTCCCATACTGTTTCAAGTAGTCACTTTTCTTTTGTGTGTGTGTGTGAGCTGCTCAGAGCTCTCTGTTTTATAGCCTGCCTCTACCCCTGGGCAAAAATCTCTGAGCTGTGCTATGGAGCTGGGGACAAGGGCAGTGGCATACTTCCCTGAGTGACACTGCTGCCTGAGGAGCAAGCAGAGTGCTGGGCAGGACAGTGGCTTCTGGTCTTTGCTTGCTACTCCCAGTGTGGAGCCTCCTTTCTGTGAATGAACTGGGGCTTAGGCCACAGCCTGCTGGGCCTGAGAATACTGGGGTGGAAGAAGCCCCTGGCCTATCTGCCACGTGGAGCTAGTGGGCAGTGCTGAGAACTGCTGAGAACTGGGGGCAGTGGGTCACGCCTGCGCACAGTGCTGGTGGACTCCCAGGTGCTACACACTCTCATTATTCTCACCGAAATGTGGTAGATTTCCTTGTGTAAATGTTTCTTCATTTGCTATGTGCTGTGTGCTATATCCAGAGACTTCAGATGCTTGGTAGTGACTTTTTTTAAACCTGTTCTGCCTGTGTTGCTGGGGAGAGGCCTTTGGAGCTCCTCGTGCTGCTGTTCTGGAGGTGGAACACAACTGAATCAGTTCTGGCACCAAAACTATGAAAATGAAAGAAAGGAAGAAAAAACTTTACAACTCAGAACTTTTTTACTTTGGAATTGGAGATAGGGATGGTACTGATATTTCCAACTCAGGGACTTGGGAGAGGCTGAAGAGAGGAGGGCTGGACAGCCAATTGTGGGAGGTGGGATGCACATGCAGGCATCTGACCCCTGAACTGTCTCCCTTTTAACCTCTCCTTTGGACTGTGAGACCCTCAGGGACACAGGCCCATGGTCTCTCTTTCATGTTTCTTTTACTTCTGAGACAGATGGCACAGTGTATAAGTATGTGACTGCCTGTTCTCTGCCTTTTCCTGCAGGTTCTTGTGGCCCACAGGGCCTTCGTGTGGAAAGTGGAACGTGTGTGTGGTGTAGACATAGCAGGCGCTGTTTGAGTGGACATACCACTCTGTATTCAGCCTCGGTCTCTGTCCCCAGGGCCTCCCACACTGGCCATGCCCGTGCCCACTGAGGGTACCCCACCGCCCCTGAGTGGTACCCCTGTTCCAGTCCCAGCCTACTTCCGCCATGCAGAGCCTGGCTTCTCTCTCAAGAGACCTGGGGGCCTCAGCCGGAGCCTCCCACCCCGCCCCCCTGCCAAGGGCAGCTTCCCTATCAGTCGTCTCTTCCCTCCTCGGACCCCGGGCTGGCATCAGCCCCAGCCCCGGAGGGTGTCATTCCGAAGTGAAGCCTCAGAGACCCTGCAGAGCCCTGGGTATGACCCGAGACGGCCAGAGTCCTTCTTCCAGCAAAGTTTCCAGAGGCTCAGCCGCTTGGGTCACGGTTCCTATGGGGAGGTCTTTAAGGTGAGTGAGGGTACAGCTTCCTGGGCCTGTCTTGGGGATGCCTTTATCTCCCTCTAATCCCTCTCTGGATGGGACAGTGTTGTGGGCAGCCTGCCCTTGGTCTGTCCCCTAATAGCTTGTCTGTCCTGGGCTGATAGCCCCCGTTCTATGTTTGACTTTGTCATAAGCTCCCATGCTGGCCGAGGGCTGCCTCATGTACACTGGCCCCTTGTCCAGAGCCTGGTATGCCCTGTGGTGACTCTTGGTTGCCTTCTGTCTGCCTGGAGCCAGCTGTACTGGGGTCCTTGGCGAGCTCTGCCTGGCCCTGGGAGCTGGCCCAAGTGTAATGCCCACCCTCTCCCCCAGACTGACAGGCTTAAAGGCTACCCCCTGCCTGCTACCATTTTTTTTTTCTTAAAATATGTTTTCTAGTCATTTACATTTCCTTTAAAATGGTAGCTTTTCCCTTGCACAGTACTATTTAAAGGCAATTTTGTTAAAAATGCAAGTAGCACAGGCCCTGGATCAGCTCTCCTTCCCAGAGGAAAGCTTGTGCACAACAGAGTACACTGCCTCGTTGTTCTGAAGCCAGGGTTTTCATTTAGCACTGTGCCCTGGAGAGTCTGCCAGGTCAGTACACATGGGTCCATCCGCCTCCTCCATGGTTGGGTCTCCAGCACATCATCCTGCCGATGGAAGTTTGTCCAATTTTGCTGTTGCTGCATGCTGGGGTCTTTTATAAGACAGATGTGTGCCCATACCCCAACATATGTGAAATCTTAATAGTATCTGCTGATTGTTCCTTCACCCTGCCTGTGGGTATCACCTCCCTTCCAGGTGCGCTCCAAGGAGGATGGCCGGCTCTATGCAGTCAAGCGCTCCATGTCGCCATTCCGGGGCCCCAAGGACCGGGCCCGTAAGCTGGCTGAGGTAGGCGGCCATGAGAAGGTGGGGCAGCACCCACGCTGTGTGAGGCTGGAGCAGGCCTGGGAGGAGGGTGGCATCCTGTACCTGCAGACAGAGCTGTGCGGGCCCAGCCTGCAGCAACACTGTGAAGCGTGGGGTGCCAGCCTACCCGAGGCCCAGGTATGGGGCTACCTGCGGGACACTCTACTGGCTCTGGCTCACCTGCATGGCCAAGGTCTGGTCCACCTTGATGTCAAGCCTGCCAACATCTTTCTGGGGCCCCGGGGCCGCTGCAAGCTGGGTGACTTTGGGCTGCTGGTGGAGCTGGGTGCCACTGGAGCTGGTGAGGCCCAGGAAGGAGACCCTCGTTACATGGCCCCAGAGTTGCTGCATGGCTCTTATGGGACAGCGGCAGACGTGTTCAGGTGAGGACTGAGACTTGGAGGGGTTGTGGTGGAGTGTAAGTGGTTAGCAGAGAGAGGGACTCCCCAGGAGAGGTGCTTTATCCTACCCCCAGGTCAGGAGGGTACTTGGCTTAGGGCTTGGGAGATGCTGCCCCGCCCTTGTCCTCTAACCACAGGGTCCCCAGAGCAGGCTGCCTGTAAGCAGCGAACCTTCTGGAGCCCCTTTATGCCTAGACTAACCCTCTCCTCACAGCTCCATTATGAGGAAGGAATGGCTCAGCGAGGCTAGGGGCTTGTCCGAGTCCATAGTTAGTGCACTCAGACTGGTCCCAGACCTTGGGTTCCAAGTCCATGCTGGCACTCACTGCCCTTCCTCCAACAGTTGTGTCTGATGGGCTCAGCAGAACAACGATAATGACACTAGTAACCATAGAAGACATGGTGCCTGTCAGTGGGTGCTGGAGAACCCTCTAACACAATGTGTGGGCTGAATGGATGCAGAGTTCACACTTTACAAAGTCCCCCTCCTTCCTGGGGCCTTCTCAGAACCCCCCCCCCATCCCTCTCTCTCCATCTCCTTGGGTTATGGTGGGAGAGCACCCTTTCCAACCCTCTAAGAGGCTACGTGGGACTGGGGCCTGTGTCCTGAAGCCAAGTCTCCCCATTTCTGTGTTCAACCCTGTCCCTCCTAGTCTGGGTCTCACCATCCTCGAAGTGGCATGTAACATGGAGCTGCCCCATGGAGGGGAGGGCTGGCAACAGCTGCGCCAGGGCTACCTACCCCCTGAGTTCACTGCTGGTGAGTAGGGGACCCACAGGCAGGAGCCAGCTTCTACCAGCTTCTGTGGCAGGGAGTAGCTGGTGGTGGGGGCACCACTGGGTTGAAGGACCAGTCAGCACCCTGGGACCTCTGACATGCGGCTGCTTTGTGGGCCAGGTCTGTCTGCTGAGCTGCGTTCTGTCCTTGTCATGATGCTGGAGCCTGACCCCAAGCTACGAGCTACAGCTGAGGCCCTGTTGGCCCTGCCCATGCTGAGGCAGCCACGGCCCTGGAGTGTCCTGTGGTGCATGGCTAGTGAAGCCCTAAGTCAAGGCTGGGCCTTGTGGCAGGTAAACCCCACAGTGCTAGGTTGTCCCACATGCTCCCTATTCCAGGGCCTGCCTGGCCTCCTGAGGCTCCCTGTAGAACTTCCTATGTAGACCACGGTGTCCTCAAAGTCACGATCTTCCTACTTCAGCCTCCTGAGTGCTGGGATTACAGTCACTGTGCTTGGCTTCTGAGGTTCTCTCTTCCCTCAGACCCTGCTCACCCTGTTGTGCTGGCTCTGGCACAGCTTGGCTCACCCTGCCAGCTGGTTGCAGCCTCCAGGGCCACCAGCCACCCCGCCTGGCTCTCCACCCTGCAGCTCCCTTCTGGACAGCAGCCTCTCCAGCAGCTGGGATGAAGACAGCATAGGGTGAGTGAGAGCCCAGGACACCCAGGTGGGGGGCATATCACTGTGGCTCCACATGGGAGGAGGCCTGGGTCCCATGGAGACACTGGTACATGGGACCTTCCCACCAACCTGGCCTCCTTTACACTCCATAGTGGGAGGGCTGGCAACAGCTGTGCCAGTGTTACTTGCCACAGAGTGTGTGGCCTGGCCTGTGTCAATGTGGCTCAGTATGGCAGGCAGACTGTACCTGCTGGGACAGGCATGGGTACAGCCTGCTCTTTAGTAGAGGCTGCCAGTGCCCAGACACAAGGCATTGTCCTTTCCTGGAGCCTGATGAACCCCTGCCCTGAGAGGATTCTTCTAGTCCCAGGGGCCTGGTGGCCAAGTAAGAGGCTGTAATTAGGAATCTGCTGCGGACAGGCTCTCAGGAGGCCCCTTCCTTACAGTAATGTTTCCCTTGCTCTGTGGGCATTTTGTAGCACAGAGGAAGTGCAAGAAAAACCTCCTTTAATAAAGGTTTACTCGACACATCCTGCTCGGTCAGAACTCATGTTCTCAAGGGAGGTGGCTTTTGAGCATGGTCAGGTGGAAGGACTTAAAGGTTGTCAAAGTGCACTGTATTTTAATTTTCCCAATTGTGGACCTGCCCTTTCTCTAGGCAGGGACCTTGAACCCATGGAGGATCAGGGCTGGTCGTGTCCTACATTCCTAATCCCTCAACACCCTGGTTTTTTTTACCCACCTTCCTGCAGGCCCTCACTCTCCCCAGAGCCCGTTCTGGCCCGGGCTGCCAGGAGCACCTCCACTCCCCAGGCCAGGTACATATGGAGGTAAGCAGCGCAGGGGCTGGGCTGGGCTGGGCAGACTTTGGGATCCTGAGTGTCATTCCTCTTTCCTCCCTCTCCTAAGAGATGCCCTGGACCTAAATGACATGGATGTAGAGCCTCCTCGGGGTTCCTATCCAACTTTTGAGCCTCGGAACCTTCTCAGCCTGTTTGAGGAGTCGCTAGACCCAGCCTGAGCCGCAGGCCCTGCCTCCCTGCTTTTAATCTCGTACCCACTTTCCTGCCCCTTCCCCTGGAAAGCTGGGATCCCTCTGGGAACTCCTGTATCTAATAAAAAGTACTGAATTTTGGGCACACCCAAGCTTGCTCACATGGCAACATAGCACTTCCTATCACTTTATTGATGTCTCTCAGGGTCTTGGGCCCCTGGAATGATCCAGCTGTGAGGCTTAGCCCTGTTGTAGAGTCTAGGGCCACCGGCCTCAGGCCAGCAGACTAGATCCACACACTGTGTGGAGCAGATTTCCTGAGCGGGCACATCTCTGGTGGGCAGGTCAAGTCTTCAGACCATGGCACTGAAGGTGGAAGGCAAGCCCTTAGCCCTCTGGGGCCTGGGTCCAGAGCCACCATTCCACATCTATGCTCGTTGCCTAGGAAAAGCAACCACTGCTGTTGTGCCTCTTAGCTAGCTGGTATAAGAAGGGCTAGTACCCACTTGGTCCTGGGAGAAGGGGCTGGTTCTGCTGCCTGCAGCCTTACTCCAGTCTCTTGGACGGGAGGCAGGGTAAGATTCTGGCTGCTGGGAGGGATGGCAGGCAAGGCAGAGATGGAGATCACGAGGTAGGGGCTGGAATGATGGGCCCAGGGACCCATGAGGTACTTTGTGGGAGGGGCAGGATGGTGTGGCTGGGCTGGCAGGCAGGATTAAGTTGGCATGACTCAACTGTCAAGCAAGACACGACCCCAGAGACCCTCTGGCCCAACCCTCACAGGTCACAGAGGGTAAACTGAGATCCAGCTGACATAGTAAAACAGACCTTGGAGGGCAGACGGCAGGGAGGGGTAGTTGGAGTCCCAAGGCCTGGGTGGAAGAAGAGGTTATGCCACAGGGAACAAACAAACAGATGAGGGCTCCCAGCTGTGAAGTTCAATATGCTGAATGCTTCCATGAAGCAAGCCCCTGGCAGACCAGCAGAAGGAGGAAAGGTGCCCCAGGGCCATTGGGGAGGCTGGCTCAGCAGACAGGAGGCAGATCAGTCTGGGGGGCAGGCATGGCGGGCGGCCCAGAGCAGGTCAGGCACCACACCGGCATGCAGCTGGAGAATGGAGCCCACACTGAGCAGGTGCATGATCTGGTGGGAGTTGCCCCAGTAGTCAAAGCGCCCGGGCCCCCAGCGCTCTGGGAGGCGGGCCACGTTCACCAGCCCTCCAAGCAGCGCCAGTGCATCCATGCGCAGGTAACAGGGCAGGGAGCCTGGAGCCCCTGAGCCTAGCCCTACTCCGCGGGCCCCAAACACCAATAAACGAGCCCCAGCTTGCCAACCAAAGGCTCGGAGCCGGGCAGTAGTGGAGGGGGCAGTGAGGGCTCGCCAGCCAGCCACACCTGACAGTACAGTGTAGCCCACCAGGGCAGCTGGGCGCAGCCAGGGCCTGCAGGCCAGGGTACAGTGGATGATTGGCAGGGCCCCTACAGAAAGATAAAGCAGAGAGAGCACATCAGTCTGAGCCTGCCTGCCCTTCTCTACTAAGGGCTCAGCAGTGGCCCCTGACTTCCCCTCCCTGGGCCCCTGGCTCACCGAGGGTGTTGACGAGGCAGACCCCACACATATCCAGGGCGAGAAGTCGGGTGTACACGGAGCTGCCCCCTTGGTGGCACATGAAGAGGTGATACAGCACAGAGGCAGCAGGGGGGGCCAGGCAGGCCACACAGTGAGTGCCCCCCAGCCAGCCATCTTTGCCCAGCTGACCCCAGGGCATGGTTATCGGCACCAGCACCAGGAAGCCTAGCAGGGCCAGCCCTGGGAGGGAGGGAGACAGTTATCTATCAGACAGTTTCAGCGTAGAGAACAAGTAATGTCCAAAAAGGGACCATATGCTTAGGCGAGTGCTCTACCACTTGAGCCACACCCCCCGGCACACAAGATGGGCCCTGATGCTCTGCCAACCAGCACAGAGGCAGGCCTCAGGCTAAAGACTGAAATGGGTTGCTATGGAGGCTTCTGCAGTTCTGAGGAGTAGAAATGATGAGCCCCACTTTGCCTGTGAGGAAACAGGCTTTGAGGCCAAGTAACCTGCCCCAGGTGAGCCCAGCAAGTAAATAAAGACACGCCCTCGTTCCTCAAGTTGCGGCACCCCTCAAGTAGCAGGCCTGTCTGTCCTGGAGTGTCCACAGTTCTGAGTAGGACGGGAAGGCCACACCAGCCCCAGGCTACTAAGCACCTCTCCCCAAAGTCCACACAAATGGAGGCTTTGGGCCTTTTTGTCTCACAGAAAGGAGCAAGACCAGTTGTGGGGAGGCAAGTCCCAGCTCCTCCCAGGTACCTCAGAGCTCCATTCCTTCCAGCCCAGCCCTTCTTGAGAATTGCCACCCCTCCTTCCCAGCATTTGGCAGTTGCCCTCACTGGGGTCAAAGAAGGTGCCAGCTGCTCACTCTTGGTGGGGTCTTGCAGAATAATAATAGCCCCTCACTAGGGAAAGACCCAGGACAGCCAAGCCGGTTCTGGGCCCCTCTCCCAGAGGCTGGGGCGGCTCAAGGACAGGCAGGGCTGTGTCAGCAGAGCTCTGCGGGCCATGTGGCGGGGAGGGGGGGCGGGAGGAGCCGCCACCAGGCGGAGCCCCAAAGCAGGGCTGCTTGGGCAGGGGTGGCAGGGAGGGGCGATCTCCTCCAAGGCCCCTCCTGGCCAGTTAACACCCATATTTATTCGAGCGGGGGTAGGGGGGTAGGGAAGGGGAGAAGAGGCTGTCCAGAGCGCTGAGATTATGAAGAGGTCTGATACCAGGCTTCTTACACCCTTACACCCAGGGCTCAACTGGATTAGGAGAGCCCAGTCCCCCACTCCGCTCCCCTCTCCTGCCCTCGCCCCAGCAGGGGAAGCGGAAGCTGGTTGCACCGCTCGGGACAATGGCAGCTTTGTCATCGCGGCTCCTGGCCGAGCCAGGGCCAGGACAGTCCCGGACTTGGGTCCGGGGGCACTACTCGGCCTTTGGACACTGCCCGGCACAGGCAGGGCGGCCGCAAGTACAGGATGCGCGAAGTGGGGCGCGGCTCACCGTGGGTGTAGATGTTGCCCAGCTCATTGTGCAGGTAGAAGAGGCTACGCAGGCATCCCGAGCCACTGCTGGCTGGCCGGTAGCCGGTCAGCACGAACTTATTGAACTGCAGGTGCGGCGGCGAGCTTCCCCAGTCCAGCAGACGCGGCCCAGCCAGGAACGCCATGGCTTCGGGCAGCGCGGGCGGCCTGCACGCCTCCTTTCCCTGGGCCTCCTCCTCAGTGGGGCCGCAGAGCAGGGAAGCTCATTCCCGCCTGCCTGTGGATCGTCCTGTGCGGGGTCAGCGCGCTAGCCAGCCCGGGGTCCCGGCCCGCTCCCCTTCCACGCTGCGCACGCGCGAGTCCCACGCCTCCGCGCCAGGGCAGAAGCTGGAGACCCCGGCGCCGAGCGCAGTGCGGCGGATTCCACCCCGGCAGGCGCGCCGCAGGGAGAGCTCGCGGTGGCAGCGGTGGCGGCCGGCTGTTTCGCCGCAGCCCGGAGGACGGGCGCGGCTGGACGCGGGAGCGGGCGCCAGGCTCCACCCCGGCTCCTCGCCCCCGCCACCCTGCCCGTGTTTCGCGCGCTGAATTCTTGACGTTGACGCTGCCAGGGCCAATGGGCGCGGCGGGCGGGGAGGCTCCGCCCCGAGACCGCCCAAGGCTTCTTCTCTGAGCATAATGTATGCGATTCCAGCCTCATTTGCACCGGGTGTCGTTGGCTTGGGACCGGACGTTCTGGGTCCGGCGGGCTCTGGCTGAAGTGACCCGTACCTCGCGTCCCGCAGATTGTGCACCGGGCATTCCGCGTGGCGGCCTGGTCGTCGCACCTTTGGACACCCACCCTACAGGGCGCAGCCCCACTACCCAGCCTTACCCCCCAGCTGGGGCTCTGTCCAAGGTGCTGCTATCTCAGGGCGCGTTCGAGCGGGTCCAGTGGATCGCCGGCACACCCACTTTAGAGGTGAGCTCCCCATCGGCCCGAGGTACCCAAGCCTCGGAGACGTTGCGTGACACACCTGACGCCCTCAGGGTGAGCCCGGCTCTTCCGGCCAGGTTTCGCCAAACTTGAGCTGTGCCCAACTCGCTCCCAGTTATCACTCGCCCACACAAGACACACCCTCAGCCCTGCCCAATACAGGCAGGAGACAAGAGGGGAAGGCAGGAGGTGAGAGTGGAGAAAGGTCGGCCCCCACCTTGTTCATCCTGGACGAGGACCAGGAAGGCACTGTTTCTGTATTACTCTCCCCACAACCAGCCTCTACCTCCCCCTCTTCTACCGGACACCCCCACCCATTCTTAGTGCCTTGTCCTCTGTATTCCAGAAGGCTCTACCAAATTTACGGCGGGAAACACCCTTCATTTGCATTGATACACGCAACCCTCCACTCGTACACTCATTAGCTAGCTCCTCTCTCCCAAGTAAGAACTTGTCGAGGTCTGTACCAAAATAGGCCCTTTATTTAAAGTCTGTGGTAGGTCTTTTGTTGCCCTCTGACCTCTCATTGAGGGCGCACCCCAAGAGGGGTTCAGAGACGCCTGAAACTAGAGACCACCTCCCACATCAAGGTCCATTGGTTGAGGGGCTGGATTCCTCTTGCCCTTTGGCCTCGATCATCTGAACCCCAGCTGTCAGGCCAAGTTTCCATAATAGCACCAGATGCTTCCTGTCCGATTCCTGGCCTCCCCGAGATGACCAGAGGGCGATCTGCCTTTAAGAGGCAGAAGGCCGAGGTAGGGTGCGCACACGTCTCAGATGTCCGTCTCGCTGGCAGAAGGTCCGACGGACCCTGGGGGTCCGGAGTCAGAGAGCAGAGATGAGCGAGCGCAAGGAGCTCTGGCTGGAGGCACTCAGGGGCCGGTAGCCTGCGGCAGGACCCTCAGCCTGAGGGTCCCCGGGGGGACAGGGCAGGGCCACCCCTCGGGGCCGGCGGTACCACACAGCCCAGCTTCTCCCGGGGCCCCGGGAAGGCCCCAAGGCCAGAGGCCCTTTTCCCGGAGCCAGCAGACAGCTCCTAGAGAGGGAGCAGACGTCAGCTGGACCCCGACCCAATCCCACCTCCAGCCTCCTGCTCTGTCTGCGATCCCACACGCGATTCTCCCAAGGCCTCACCCCCTCAAAAACCCAGGATAGCCATCCTAGCCTCGTTCCCTTCTTGGGGATCCCCACCAGGGCCCCAGCGCCCCGGACACGGAGGCACAGGTGCCCAGCGCGGGTTCCTCCGCCCTCAGGCCCTGCCCCAGCGCCCGCACCGTCGGCGCAGCAAACGCAGCAGCGACAGGAGCAGCAGCAGCAGCACGGAGATGGCCGTTACCGTCGAGAAGACCCGGGCTGCGGGCACAGGGGTGCGATGAGGACAGGGCCCTGGGGACCCGCACCCTGACTCCCTCCCGTGTCGCACGCCTGCCTCACCCCCCATTGCAGCCTGCGGAGCTCCAGGCCTGGGGCTGCAGCTCACGTTGGTCCCGTCGGGGGGCTCTACGGGAGTCTGGGCCGAACCCTTGGGGGGCGCGCGGTCCTCAGTAGCATCCTGCAGCCCTGCGGAGACGGGTGTGAGGCCGGGTGGGGCGCGACCCCGCGGGGGCAGGAGGGCCGGGGCGGGGCTCACCGCGGTAGGTGAGCGCGAAGCCCTGCGCGTGGCCGCGCGCGTCGCTGCGGAAGGTGAGCAGCAGCGCAGCTGCGCGCAGGCGCAGTGGCGCGGGCGGAGGCGGCCGGGCGCCGTCGAAGGCGAAGAGCAGGCTGCCGGAGCCCGCGTCGCGCAGTTCTAGTCGGTCGCGCGGATCTGCCAACTCGAAGAGGCGGAAGGTGAGCTCCAGCGCGGCGCCCGTCGGGCCTAGCACCCAGCTGCAGTTCCGGTCTGGCCCGTACTCATCCGGGAAATCCGGAGAGTAGATGACACCCTGGGGAGCCGTCCAGTTTCCTGGCAGGAGCCTACGGACACTGCAGGCGGGGCCGGCTGTCAGGACCTTAAAGCCAGAGGGGCTCTACCTTCACAGCACAGAGGTCCATGTCCGAGTGACTTGGGTTCCCAGCTAGGCCCCACCCTTAGGCCAACGCAGTATTCTTTCGAGGCCCTGTCCTTGATCCAGGTGCCGCCCAGTCTCCTTCCACAGATCTCATCCTCGGACCAATCCCTTTTACTTTTGGCTCTGGACCCACTTCTTCAGCCCAGCCCCCTCTACCGATCCTGCCCTCAATCTCAATCCCCCTCTTCAGGCCCCAACCCGAGCCTGCCCCTGCCCCTCACCCTCCATTCCTCCCCTTTTAGGTAGGGCATGACACATCAGGTCCCCTCGCCCAGACCCCCCCTTACCTTCATAGATGCCCAGCCGCCCATCGCCGCCACACAGCTGGCCAGGGTGGCCAAAGCAGATCTGGTCACAGTCGGTGGCAGGGGCCAGGCGTCCCCGGGCCAGGTCGCTTTCAGAGCCACAGAAGCAGGCGTAACCAGCCTCCACACCCGCCAGCTGGGAGCACAGACTGGGTGACCCGAAAGGCAGGGACCAGGGTAGGGATGGAGTGATGGAGTGGGAATTGGGTTAGAGGTTCAGAAGCCAGTGTCAAGGTTTGGCAGGAGTTTTGGGGTGGCCCAAACAATGTATACACATGTTAGTAAATGTAAAAATGATAAAATAGGAGAGTTTTGGGAGTTTATTAGGGTCCAGAGGTCAAGATCAGGGGTCACTGGTCTGAGCTCATGGACAGTACCTGGTAGCCCTTCATGCGGCAGAAGCGAAGGCACACCTGTACCGTGAGCTTCGTGGAGGTGCCGCTGGGGCCACTGAGAGCTGGAGGTGCACCCGAGTCCACGAAGCAGCCCAGATACCCTGGCACTGAGGGGAGCAGCAGAGTCAGGCCCCCAACTTTGAAAGCAACCCTCCGGCCAGACACCACTGCCCTGCCACCTGTGTCCTAGGGGGGCCCACTCACTGTGACACGTGGGGATGTCACAATAGCGCCAGTAGATACCCTCCTCCGTCTCAGCCACGTAGCACCACGGCTGCACATCACCATCTGGGTTCCTGCGGGTGGCAGGGGGTGGTCAGGATCCTGCTGTCCTGCCCCCCACCTATTTGCAATGTGGCCGCCAAGACTCAGGGCGTGTTAGAGGCCGTGCTTGTCTCTGTTATTAAAGATTCTAGTTTTCTCCACGTGCTCTGAACACTGACTTCGGAGTGGACAGTGGGAAGTCATTAAAGGGGCCTGGAGAGTTCTTTTTAGGTCTTTGACTTGGCTGGTGGAGTGGCTCGAGCGGTAGTGCCCTTGCCTGGCAAACGTGAGGTCCTGAGTTTAAGCCCCAGTTCTACCAAAAACAAAACAAGAAACAACAAGAAAACTTTGCCCTCACTTAGCAGTGAGCCTTGGCTATTTCCCTCTCCTCAGAACTCTGCTTTAAAGTTTAAGTGGTGAGTCCTAAGCCTTGCAGTCCAGCAGAGAAGTGGTCTCCTGCTCGGTCCCCGCTCCTCCACTCAGCAGTTGTCGCTCTGAATCCCAGTCCTTACGGGTGGTAGATGCTCCCTAAAGAAGTTCTAGACAAGACCCTGTTCTGTCATTCCAGGGCGCCGCTTCCACCAGGCCCCCCACGCGCGGGCCGCCTTGAGTGCTTAGACTTGGTCGTCTCCTGGCCCTGACCTCAGGCTCTGCAGCAGTTAGACACCTGAATCCGACCCCTTCAGTGCAAAGGTTCTGCGGACCCCCTGGTAACACAGGCCCCGCCCCTCGCCTTGGCCACGCCTCTAAATCAACCCGCCCAGCGCAGATCTCCGCCCCGCCCACACGGAGGCCCTGCCTCGGGCCACCACCCACAGCCGAGGGTCCACCCGCGCCCACAGCACAGGCCCCGCCCCTCACCGGCAGAAGTTGTGCGCGCCCAGCCCCCAGCGGCCCTGCGGGTCGCTGGCGCTGCTGTAGCTGTGCTGCTGTGTTTGGTCCCAGAAGAGACACGGACGTCCGGCCCCGCGCGGGCCGGTGTGGTTCTGGTGGCCGCGATAGTCGGCGCCATTCACCTGGAAGCACTCGGACAGGCCTGCCCGGCAACCGCGGGACCTGGGGAAGTCTGGACCCTCACGTGGTCTCCTCACCCTCCCACTCCCAGACGCCAAATCCCGCCTGGGTCCCCAGTCAGCACCCCAGGCACCTGCTCCCGGGGGGCCCTCGGACTGCTCAGCTGCTCCAGCCACCTGCTCTGCCGCCTCCCTAGCCTCGGGGCCCCAGCCCTGGGCTCCGAGACCAGTGACCATGGCCTGGCCGCCGTGCCTGACTCACCTGGACTGTGCAAGCTTCCCGCTGAGGCTCCGAGGGGCTGCAGCAGCGGGAGGAAAAGGAGGAAGAGGCCCTGCAGAGCCGGTGTCCCCATCGCCCCCACGCAGGGAGAGGTCGTCTTGGCCTGGACACGGTCCGAGCCGCCCCCGGGGCCGCTCTGGGTTTTCCCAGGCGACCTGGGGGCGTTGTCCTCTGACCGTCTATCCTCGTCTCACTCTGGACGGCGCTCCCGTCCGGGGCAGGGAAATAGCTCCTGGTGGTGGTGGGGGGGTGTCTTTGCTTCCTGGGGTCTCTGACTCTTGAAGGTGTCTCTCTCCTGCGTCCTTGCCCGGAGGTTTCTGGGGAGGAGGGTCTTTTCTGGCCGGGGGCAATCTCAGTCTCTGCTCTCCTAGCTCTTGGTGGTGCCTTGGCCTCCACACCCACCCCCTCCCGCTGCGCCTCGTACTCTGCGTCTCCCTCGCCCAGGTCTCCAGTGCGCTGGCTCCTGCCCCTCCTCGCGTCCCTCAGCGGGTCCCTCCTCCCTGGGTCCCTCCTTTCCCCCGAGGGAGGACGGGAAGCCCCGCCCGGGACTGGAGCGCAGGCAGCAGGTCCAGACGTCTCCCACGCCCGCCCCCCGGGACCCCCGGCGTCCCAGCGCACGCCTGCCCGCCCCTTCCCTCTCCCTTTCCCTCTCCCTCTCCTAGGGTCGGTGTGGGTTCCAGTGGGAGGATGTGAAGGGAGACAGCCGAACTAGCAGACAGAGGACCCTAGAGAGGAGGATATAGGACCTCCTCCCAAGGCGACAAGGAGTCTTTGGGTCACAAGCGCCCTCATTCAAGTGCACGCGCGCGCGCTCCCACTCAACTCGGCCACCCATTCATTGTCAGACTCTCACGCACAATTTCTCCTGGTCCTCACGCTCCTCCTTCCCCTGGTCCCGACACTGCTGACTCGAAGGAGAAAGTGCCACTCCCTGACCCCGCAACCCGCGAGACAGGCGGGAACCGTGGACGCTCAGTCCGGGACAGGCAGGGGCAGCTGGTGTCTGGGGAGGAAGGCAGCTGCGTCCCTGGTCCCAGCCCGCCCCTCTCCTCCCCCCCTTCTCCTGCCTAGACCCTAGCCCAGGCTTTCCCGAGTCTTCGAGCCTTCGCAGTGCAGTGGAATTCCCCCAGTGTGCCCCCCACCTGGCGGGGGACGGGGAGGGGAGCAGGCCCGGGCAGGCGTGGGGGGAAATTCCCCGCCCCCTCCCCCTGGGCGGACTACTCTCGGAGTCCTCTGATCTCCCAGCTCCGCCTGCCCGCTGCCCCCAGGGCTTGGGGGGAGGCCAGCGCAGGTGCGTGGGAGGGCGGAGGCGGGGGTTGGGGGTGGAGTGGGGGGGCTGAGGACCCCGAGCGGCTGCCCTCGCCCAGATCACTACAGCCTGTCCACTCTTTACCAAGCCCCCTTAGGCTGTTGAGCCCAGGCTGACTGACATGTCACCGCCATGTGCATGGCGCATCCCGCCCCACTCAACTCCCGACCTGGAGCAGATGGAGAAGCAGATGGGGGCAGGTGTTCAGGCAGGATTTGAAGAAGCTAAGGTGCTTGCGGTTAAGCGAAGGGGGGTCTTGCAGTTAGCGGCTCTCAGGAAGGGTCTTGGGGCCAGAGACATGTGGCATGAAGATGGGTGATGGCATTGGAAGGAGATGGGCTTGCTGAGGCCAGACGCAGGTGTCTCCCCCAAGAGCTCTCAGTGACCATGCTGGCTCCAACTAAGCACTGGGCTGGGAGTCCCCTCCCCTTCCTGTACTGCCACCACTCTGGATGGCTCGACCAGCCTGATGCCTCTAAGGAGGAAGCCTGGACTGGGGGCGAGAGGCGGGTAACTTATAGATCTTGGGCTCTCCTTCTCCCTTTTGACTGAGAGCCAGAGTGTGCCTGGGGCCCAGCCCTGTGGGCCCAGGCTCTGACCCATGGAGAACGTTCCAGGTGGGCCCTTGGAAGAAGGGGTGAGATAAGAGACAGACAATCAGGACCCAATGTCTAGAGCAGAGCCTATGGAGGGATGGTGAGGAGCCTCCTTGGCAGGCCCCATGGGCTAAAAGAACCATCTAGAGCTGGGGAAGGTCTGTCCAATCCTGTCTGGGGCAAAAGGAGGGGAGGTGTGCTCAGTTCCCAGGCACAGGGCACTCGTGTGTGTGTGTGTGTGTGTGTGTGTGTGTGTGTGGGGTGTGTGGAATGTCTGCCACAAGCTTCAGCTGGTGGTAGAACCTTTGAGAACTGGGAAGGGCCTTGACATCCTGCATCCCATCCATTTTCCCATCGTTCCGCACTCAGGACTCACTCAGCAACTGGGGGCCTGTCTGCTCTTCGAAGACCCCATTGAGGGGGAGATTGGCAATTTGTATCCCCACTTTGCAGAGCATGCATTGGGCTCACCAACTATTAAGTGTTGGAACCAGGATTCAAGCATAGTGTGTTCCAAGCACTGGGCGCTGACTCTGTCCCCATCCCGTACCACTTTAGGGTTCGCTGATGGGACAAAGGTATCTGGGTATAGAAAGACACCAGCTCTGACAGCATCTCTTGTAATTCATTTCACAGACCAGGAACCTGAGGAAGGGGAGAGGTTAGCCTACGGTTATCAGAGCCTGAAACCCTGACTCTGGTGGACAGCCTTGGCTTGTCAACTCTGTGGGAAGCAGATTTGCAGGCACAGAACGGCCACATGGGGGCATCAGAGAGAAAGGAGCAGAGGACTTGGGCATGGGTGGTCAGGCGTGTTCCAGGTGGAAAGGGCTGAGTGGGCCTCGCCCTCACTCCTTGGAAGCACATGAAGCCAGCTTTGCCCTGTACAGTGGTAGAGATGGTGAAAAGATGCGGGACATTGGGTGAGAAGTGGAGTTTTGCCACTTTGTCCCAGGAAAGGGAGAGACAGACTCAGCCATGGCCGTCTGACCTAGTGCAGAAGTAAGTGTTGCACATTTGAGCCCAGCCCTTTCTGTGTGAAAGCCCATCAGAGCAGGGGTTGACCATCAGAGCAGTGGACTCGCGACTGGCTTCCTCAGCTGCCTTAGTCTTGTCCCTTCATTTTCCTTCCAGTGGGGATAATGTCCCCTTTGTGGGCCCAGCCATGGTGGCAGAGGTGCATCACAGCCAGCGGTAAAAGGACGCACTGGAAATGTTCTTTGCGCGGTGAACTGACCCACAGGTCTGGGGAATGGTAAGCCAGGCCAGGCTTGACCCCCAAGCTGCCTGTCTACTCGTTCTAGTCCTAAGTGAGACAAACAGGACAAACGGGATGTGAGGGCAGCCTGCTCCGTGCCTCTCTTAGTAGCGGTTTGCAGCAGTCTTTGGAGTTTCTTGAGCTGTAGAGGGATCGCTCCACGCTGCCACCATCGTCACACCGTGTTCTCACTCTGTGTGTGCCTGCGTCCCGATTTCTCCATAGTCCTCCCACCACCTCTTGAGCCTGCTGCTTCCTCTGTCTCCATCGCCCCTGGGGAACTGGGTGAGGGTGCTCAGATGTTGAGAAGTTGAGCGAGCCTCGCACAAGAGGCCCAAAGTCCGAAGCCACACTCACCAACCCACCAACATGGGATGGGGTAGGCTGCTGCCAGTTTGTCTTAAGTGCTCAGGTCACCAGCCTGGCCGGGAGGGACCCGGATTTGTCCTTGATCTAGTTAGTGCAGGATTTTGTTTTTTTGCAGTGTTGGGGTTTGAACTCAGGGCCTACACCTTGAGCCACTCCACCAGCCCTTTTTTGTGATGGGTTTTTTTTTTTTCAAGATAGGGTCTTGTGAACTATTTGCCCAGCTGGCTTTGAGCCAGGATCCTCCTGATCTCTGCCTTCTGAGTAGCTAGGACTACAAGCCACTCAGCGTGAGCCACTGGCACCCAGCTCTAGTGCAGGATTTGATAAGTTTATCTGTCTGTCTGTATGTCTGTCTGTCTAATCTAATCTGTATTTCTGCTTTCTGAGACAGTGTCTCACTATGTAGCCCAGACTGGCCTCAAACTTGCTATTAGCACTGGCTGGCCTCAAACTCTCCATCTTCCTGCCCAAGCCTCCTGAGTGCTGGTATTACAAGCCTGTGCCACAATGCCCAGCTCTTGATAACTTTCTTGAGCTCCCTGGGCCTCCATTCCCAGTTCCCATATGAAGGTGCCATATACCCATAGCTGGGGAAACCAGGTGCCTGGAAGTCATCCAGCAGATTGGTGGTCTCAGGTGAGGACAATGAGGCTGGCTGGCCGGCAGGGGGTGCTGGTCTCACTTGGCATGAGTCATGAAGACTCAAGTGCGCCCTCCAGCGGGCACTTGGAGACTCTGCCTTCTGGGAACCCACATGACTTGCTGGAAATTGCTCTGCTGTGTGTTGGGCTGGGGACTCCTCCTGAGTGCTGGAGCCTGTCTGCCTGCCCAGCCCATGGAGTTCTTGTGCAGGCCTTGGAGGGGCCCCACGAAGGGCAGCTCCAGGGACTGGAATGGCTGGGCCACGTTCTTCCGGGCCTGGGGAGGAAGGTTTTGTTTCACTTTCGATGGAGGGGATGGCTCTAGAGAGAGGCCTGTTTCTTCATTTGCAGGCAGGCTGAGCCTGGAGGTGCTGCAGTGAGTGGCTTGAGGGCGTGTGGGGAGCCCTGGGAGGGGGAAGACTGGGAGCCTGGGGTCTTGGGGGTTGGTGTGGAGGGAACTGAGGCAGCTGGGGACACAGCTTGTGCCTTGCCACTTCCTGACAGGTGAGGATTTGACCATGACCTGGTTCCCGAAGCACCTGGACTGGAGCAGAAAGGTGAGAGCCCTGCCCGCCTGCCCTCACCTCCTGTCTCCACAGGCACCTCACTCTGTCCCCTTTCCTCCGCAGGACAATGGTAAAGGACTGCAGATGCCCCTGGGGATCCCCATCGCAACTGGAGTCCTGGCTCTCCTCGCTCTCCTCGCTTTGGCCTGTCATTGCGTCAAAGAGGTCCTTCCTCCTGCCCCTGCGCCCCTGCCCCAGGCCCCTTGCTCGCCATCTTCCCTCCTCATGACCCTCTCTGCTTCTAGGCCTGGAAGTCCAAGTGGAAGCCTCGCTGGAGGTGCTGGAGGCGCCCTTGCTCTGATCTGCAGCTTGTCTCCATACACTGCCCACATGAGGGACATCTGGGAACCCCTTCTGCAGAGCCTAGTGCCTCCCGGGTGCTTTCCCCAGTGTGCCCCTGAGGACTCGAGTGAGGGGCCCTCTGCTTGGAGATGAGGAGTCCCCACTGCCGGTGCTCCAGAGAAGACTGGAGAAGTTTCCTAGGATCTAGTGAGGAGTCAAAGACTATCTGTTAACGTGACTGAGCGACTGAATGGATCCCGAGGCGGGGGCACTGTGGATGCAGACAGGTATTGGGAGGGCCTCCCTGGGCCTGCACAAGAATGCCATGGCTCGGCAGGTGGACAGACTCCAGCACTCAGGCGTCCCCAGCATGCAGCAGAGCAAGTTCCAGAAAGTCACGTGGATCCCCAAAAGGCAGCGTCTTCCTGGGGGGGGGGGCACTGGCAGATGTGTTCCTCCCCTGGTCTGTGGTGTTGACTCTGCCTGGGCACCTGAAGTAGCAGAGGTTCCATGATCCATCCTTCACTGGGGGAAATGGGGTGACCCAAAGGAGAGCCGGGGGCTGGGCGATGGAGGCCTGTAGCCTCGAGGTTTGCTGGAGAGGGCAGAGTGAAGCCTGGACCTGGCCTTCCCCCCCAGAGGACCTACCTATCCTTGTCCAAGCAGAGCTGTCGAATAGGTGGCACCTTTCCAGGGCCACAAGAAGGGCCACTCCACCCCCACCCAGGCAGCTCCAGAACCTTCCTGCTCAGCTTAGGAAGTGCCGGTGAGGCTAGGGCCCACTGGAGTATGTCTGGGATCCCTGGCTGACGGGAGCGAAGCCACTGGAACCTTCCAGGCCGGGGTACTCCCGCAGATCCGTGCTCATCTTCCTGGATTGGGAGCTGCCTGGACTCCTGAGGCCCAGTGCCCAGAGCTGTGTGATGGCCTTTCCTGGGAGGAAAAATGTCAGAGAGGGAAAATTTAGGAAGGGCAGTCGATCAGGGGTGGTGGCAGGCGGAATTCTAAGATGGCCCCGAGATTACTGCCTCTCAATGTCCACAGGATCCATGAGCTGCCTCTGAAGTGCGTTTGGACCTGTGAATACGCCAGATGTCTGTCCTCTGGCTGGGTCGTTATGTGGCAGCCATGAAGGGATTTTTGTAAGGAAGTTAAGGTCTCTAATCGGTTGTCTTTGATTTCCTCAAAAGGGAGATGGGGCCAGACATAGCCGTACACTCCTGTAGTCTTAGCTTAGGAGCCTGGGTCGTTGGAGCCCTGGAGTTCAAGGCCAGTCTGGGCAGCATAATGAGGTCCTCTTTGTGTTCCCCCCGTAAAAAGGAAGGGGGACAGGCGGTGGGCCTGACGTGGTCAGAACTTTTGAGAGTCGGAAAGCAACAGAAATGCTTCTCCAGCTGCCGAAGAAACCAGCAGCGGCACGGGCGTGGATTCTGCCACAGCCATGCGGGCTTGGTACGGGACCCTGCCTCAGGCTTCCCGGCCCCAGCTCCGGCCACCTGATTGCAGAGAACCCCGTTCAGCCCCCGCTCCTCCCCGAACGCCTTGTTCTCCAAGACTATGAGATCACAAATGGGAGTTTAAGTTGTGGTTTGTGGTAATTTGTTCTGGACGGAATGGCTGGCTAGTTTGAGGGCGGCAGGGGTGAGGCTCCTGTGAGCTGGGGGGGTGCTTTTTCTTTCCGTCCTCCCCTCCTCCTCTTCCTCTCCTCCTCCTCCACCTCTACTTCCTCCTCCCAGGAGAGTCCCCTGCGGGCATTGTGTCGTCACGACACCCTGCTGGGGTTAGTTCCTTACCTGGCACTTCACATGGGGCAGGCGGTTGGTTTCCTTCCTGGGGAGCTGACTGTTCTCTGTTGGCCTCACAGAGCGGGAGGCTGGAGAAGGGATGAGGCAGGTGGAGGAAGGTGACTAGGATAGGCAGCAGGCTGAGCCATGGGTGCCAGTTGGGTTGGTGTCTGGAAACCCCCCTTGAGGGCATCTGGCTTCTGCTCCCTGATGCCCAACAGGACAGAGGATTCCTGGGCAGGTCTTGTGTGATGGGATTTGTATTTCAGAAAGCACATTGTAGACAAGCGGTGCCGGAGGCAGGGGTGCATGTGGGGCTGTTGTCACCCTGAGTGGCTGGGGTCCGGGGTGAGTTGGGAACCAGGGAATGGGGATGTTTATTGATACAGGGATCCACTACCTGGTGCTCTTACGGACGCCTTACCTCCTCCAGACACTAGAGGAGCCTCTAAGCCCAGAGGCACAGCCGTGTCACAGGGTGCAGATGTAGTAAGCGTTTGTTGGGGGGAAGCCTTAACTGTACTGCTGTATTGCTGCTGACTATTGAGGGGCCTGGATGGGCTGTGGGATCCACAGGCAGTGTTCAGGAAAGGGAGTCACCCATATCCCTGTTGGGGACAGGGCAGGGGACATATTGGGGACTCTGGAACAATGGAAAAGTGGATGTATGAGGGGAGTTCATGCATCTCTGGAGCTTGGTGGCTGATATCAGCCCCTGGTTGTGACTGAGTGGTCCCTGTAACAGGGGTGGGTGGTCCCTGAAGCCACCCATGGGAGTCCTTAGTCCAAACAATGTGGGCCACTCATCCACCCTCCAAGATCACAGTGGCCTTACCTGTGATGAGAATTCAGAAAGAGGAAAGAAGCTGGTCTCCTTCCTCTGCCTGCCCTTGAGTTTTATGAGGATGCCTGGGTGCCCATGGCCCAGCCAAGGTAAGGCCTGGCCACCTGTGACACGTGACATCAAGACCTGAAGATAGCTGGGCGCCAGTGACTCACACCTGTAATCCTAGCTACTCAGGAGGCAGAGATCAGGAGGCTCAAGGTTTAAAGCCAAGAAAAGGCTGGTGGATTGGCTCAAGGTGTAGGCCTTGAGTTCAAACCCCAGTACTGAGGGAAGGAAGGAAGGAAGGAAGGAAGGAAGGAAGGAAGGAAGAAGGAAGGAAGGAAGGAAGAAGGAAGGAAGGAAGGAAGGAAGGAAGAAGGAAGGAAGGAGGGAGGAAGGAAGGAAGAAGGAAGGGAAGGAGGGAAGGAGGAAGGAAGGAGAAGGAGGAGGAAGGAGGGAGGAAGGAGGGAGGAAGGAGGAAGAAGGAAGGAAGGAAGAAGGAAGGAAGGAAGAAGGAAGGAAGGAAGGAAGGAAGGAAGGAGGAAGAAGGAAGGAAGAAGAAGGAAGGAGGAGGAGGAAGGAGGAGGAAGGAGGGAGGAGGAGAGGAAGGAAGGAAGAGGGAGGAGGAAGGGAGGAAGGAAGGAAGGAGGGAGGGAGGAAGAAGGAAGGAAGAGGGAAGGAAGGAGGAAGGAAGGAAGGAGGAAGGAAGGAGGAAGGAAGGAAGGAAGGAAGGAAGGAAGGAGGAAGGAAGGAGGAGGAGGAAGGAAGGAAGGAAGGAGGGAGGGAGGGAGGAAGGAAGGAGGAAGGAGGGAGGAAGGAGGAGGAGGAAGGAGGAGGGAGGGAGGGAGGAAGGAAGGAAGGAAGGAGGGAGGGAGGGAGGGAGGAAGGAAGGAGGAAGGAAGGAGGGAGGGAGGGAGGAAGGAGGAAGGAAGGAAGGTAGGAGGGAGGGAGGAAGGAAGGAAGGAAGGAGGGAGGGAGGGAGGAAGGAAGGAGGAAGGGAGGAAGGAAGGAGGGAGGGAAGGAAGGAAGGAGGGAGGGAGGGAGGGAGGGAGGCCTGTGGAGATTCCACAGTGGAGGCTACAGAGCCAAGAGACAGCCAGGCTTCTTTGCTATGGCTCTTGGTATTTTTTCATGGGGCTGGCAGGCCACCCTGTGGAACGTCCCCTTCTGTGGTGGGACTGACCAGAGACCGAGGAGGTGGCAGCAGAAACTGGGTTATTTATTGGAGTCTGGTTTCCTTCCTCAGGTTGTGGCCCCTCCCAGGGCCTGAGCAGTTGTGATGAGATGGGGGCTCTGTTTATTTCCAGAGAACCTGTCTCTGCCCTTGACTATTAGCAATTCACTCAGCCTTGGGGCACCAAAAATGTGGCTACCGTGTTAAGTCCACTACCAAGGGTCAGCAAATGATGGACTAATTGGCCTGGGTGGTGGCTGTCATGTGACTGGACCATCTTTTTTTTGGTGGCACTCAGTGGTGGCCAAATGGTCTACCACCTGAGCCACTCCCCAGCCCAATGAATTAATTGCTAGGCTTTTTTTTTTGACAGGGTCTCACTATGTAGCCCAGGCTGGTATTGAACTTTTGAAACTCCTGTCTCTGCCTCCCAAGTGCTGGGATTATAAGCATTAATCACCATGTCCAGTTCAGACCATGTTCTTAACTGGAGGCAGGTCTGGCAGGTGAGGGCCCAGGGGAATCAGCCATTGGGGTCAGGAAGTGGGCCAGGATAACAAGTTACCTATTCACATCTTGGGTCTTTGCGTGGGGATGTCCCTTCTACTTCAAGCTTGCCCTGGCTTGTGTGAGTAGGTTCATGGGGGATTTGGCTGAGGTGTGGCAGGGACAAAAGCCCCTGTGAGCAACACGACCCTTCTGCCACAGCCTGGAGAGGCCATGGGCACTGCCTCACCCCTGTGGGCTGAAAACAGAGGTCCCCACTCCAGGTCCTCCCACACACGTGGGCTATGTGATTGCCACTGCGAGGAGTGGGGCGTCTCACCCGTGTAATTACCAAACCCGCTGTGTCTCAAGCATGTGACAGAGACGGTGTGGCTTTGCAGTGGCTAGCTGTCACTGCAAAGGGAGGTGGACACAGCAACTCTGCACAGTGAGACAAAATTGGATTTATTGGGGGAAGCAGAAGAGCAGAGACAGTGGCGGGGGATGGGGGAGCCATCACTGGCCAGCTTGCCAGGGGAGGGAGCTTGGTGCTGGGCCACTTGTTCCCACCACTATTATAGTAGGTGGTCTTGTTAGCTCACAGGAAGTTCTGCAGCCCCTCCCCGGGGGGTGGGAGTGTCAGCATGCTCCTTCCAGGACTGCTCACTTGGGTCCACTGGGGCACCGTCAGCGAAGCTCCTCCAGAGGAGAGGGGTGCACCTTGCCACTGTCTGTCTACTTGTCATGCACCAGGGACGCCACGTGGACTGCCCTAGGCGCCGCCGTGAGAATTGTGGACATGGGTTTCATTGAAGCTGGAAGAGCACGGGAAGGCAAGTCCAGCAGAAGGGGTGGCGAGCAGTCTGCTCTGTGGAGGTTGGGGCTGGCGCACCCCAGTAGCAGCAGGTGGCCAAAGCCCAGGGAGGCTTGGCAAAGGCGCATGCTCTGAGCATGGATGGGTGCTGGTGGCTCAGTGCGGCAGAGCAGGGTTGAGGTGCCTTCAGCCAGACATGCTTCTCTGGGCCTTTCCAAAGTCAAGAAGGTAGCAGAGCCACCGCCTTGGCCTGCCTCGTGACAACACTTGTGTCTGCAAGCTCTGGGGACGACTTTTTGCTGACACAAGAACACCTCCAAGCATCCTCCTGGGACACCTCTGAGGTGACAGGAAGGCCACTGATGCTTTGGAATAGTGAAAGAAGTTTTGTCGGGTGAGTCTAAGTGGCTGGGAGATGCCTGCGTGGACCGGAAGCATCGGGGTGCCGGCAGTGGTTCTGCAGGGTTCCTCTGAGGCCGACATTAGCCTCATTGGGGCTTGCTGTCCAGTTTTATATCTTTGCTGTTCCTGATTACAGAGAAACACGTGTCATTACAGAGACTCAAACATGGTGAAAACAGATAACAGTTATGTTCCTGGACCCCTTCTTCCTAGAGATAACCATCGGTTAGATCATTTTACACACCACACACACACGGATTTCTCTAAATCCAGGGCCTTGCACACGCCAGGCCAGAGCTCTCCCACTGAGCTGCGCTCTCAGCCTGAATCTGGGCTTTCTTCTGAGACAGGTTCTTACTGTGTAGTCCAGACTGGTCTTAAACTCACCATCCTCCTGCCTCAGCATCCTGAGTGCTACAACAACAGGCACGTGCCACCACAGCTGGCTGAATTTAGGCTTTTTATTGGGGGTAGGTCACGTTCTGCATTGTGCCTGGGTGACTGCTGTCACTGAAATTTCAGACTCTGGGAAGAAAAGCAGGTGAATGGGGGCGTGGCACAAGTGGTAGAGCGCCTGCCTGGCAAATTCAGGGCTCTGAGTTCAAACCCCAGTAACGCAAAATAAGTAAATAAATAAGCAGGCGCTCAGCTAAAATTCCAGACACCAGTAAGCAAGTGTCACCACTTAGGGACAGCATTGTACAGGCCCAGGGACTGTTTGCCAGGAGGCTCTACCTCTCATCCGCCTGAGGGTAGCAGCCCCGGGCCTCTCTCTGCAGTGCGTGTGCTACCGGTAACCACGTGTTGATGTGCAACCAAGCCTGCATTCCTGGGATAAATCGCACGCGGTCGAGTATAATTCTTTCTGTTGCTGAATATTTTGCTGGTGTTTCTCGAGGAATTGACTTCTGTACTTCTAAGAGACACCGGTTTGTAGCTCTCTTTTCTTGGGATGCCTTTGCCTGGTTTTGGTATCAGTGGCCTTATGGGGAAGTGTTCCTTTCTCTTATCAGAAAGCAGTTGTAAAGAACTGACATTAATTCTTTAAACATCTAATACAATTCACAGCAAGGTCTTCCAGGCCTGGGCTTTTCCTTGTGGGAAGTTTTGTTCTTATTGTTTATTTGCTTTTGATACAGAGTTTTACTGTGTTGCCTGGGCTGTTCTGGCACTCATATGTGGCCTGAGTGCACTTCGAACTTGTGATCCTCCTGCTTTAGCCTCCTGAGTGGCTGGGATTACAGAAATGCACCACCACACCTGGCTTCTTGCTCTCTCTTGATCATTCACTGCCATATTCGAGAACACTTGAGCAGCCCTGAAGAGAGGTCCACATTGGGGAGTAACTGAACCCCAGAGCCACAGCCACGAGTGAATGAATCACCTTGGAAGTGGACTCTGTCCTACACTTGAGCCTTCAGATGAGTACAGCTCCGTGCCATCCTTTCTTCAACCTCATGAGACCAGGAGTCAGAACCACTGGCTTAGGTACTCTCACCATCTTCACCCACAACAGCCGTGAGAGCCACTAAGTTTTGGGGTGATTAGTGACAAGCATTAGATACTAATACAATTACCCACAACTCTGCTGGCTTTCGGGAGAACGAGTCTCGAAGCACAGTTGAACTTTAGGTAGAAGTTTTATCTTTTCTGAGGAAAAAAATTGAAAACATGAAGTAGGAATTCTTCTCTTGTAGTAGCTTATGATGACCTTGCTTATGCTGACCTCTGAGGTCCTGTAGACAAAGAAAACCAGGCAGAGTTGAAAGTGGCTGGGGAGTCACTGGGAGTTTTGGTTTCCTAATGCTGGATGGCTTCCCATGCCAGGGAACATAAGCTCATTGAGGTGCTCTGCCCTTATCATAAAAAGAATCAGGAATCCACTAGATGTCAAGGAAGAGATCTGGCCACAGTGCCAAAGCTCCAGTGACTTCCACTTCCTGTTTAAGTCAAATGGTGGCTTTTTCACACAAAATTCTTGTTATTTTTATTTATTTATTATTTTTGCAGAACTGAGGTTTGAACCCAGGGCCTACACCTTGAGCCACTCCACCAGCCCTTTTTGTGATGGGTTTTTTTTCAAGGTAGGGTATCAAGAATTATTTGCCTGGGGCTGGCTTGGAGCCAGCCTCCTGAGTAGCTAGGGATTACAGACGTGAGTCACCGGTGCCCAGCTCTAGTGCAGGATTTGGTAAGTTTATCTGTCTGTCTGTCTATCAAATCTAATCTAATCTAATCTAATCTAATCTGTATCTCTGTTTTCTGCGACAGTGTCTCACTATGTACAGCCCAGACTGGCCTCAAACTTGCTATTAGCACTGGCTGGCCTCGAACTCTCCATTCTCCTGCCCCCTGAGTGCTGGTATTACAAGAACCCGGCTTATTCTTGTTATTATTTTGGTTATTGGAGACAAGATCTTGATAGGTAGCCCAGACTGGCCTCAAACTTGTGATCCTCCTGCCTCGGCCTTCCAAGCTCCGGGATTACAGGTACACATAACCACATCTGGTAGAAAATTGATTTTAAGCAGAAATCAATACTCTTTTGGTCACTTCATACAACTTGGATTCATTTCTGTTTTACACGATATGGCTTTTACTTTCACATGAATTAATGTAAGATGCATGTTTCCCAAAGCTTGGTTTTATATTTGTGTATGTAAAGGGAACTCATTTCAATTTAATAAAAATTATTTGCAAACGTTATGTGTTCATGTGCACATGTATGTGCACACACAGGCATTGCCACAGTCTTCTGGGGAAGTCTCTATTTTTCATCAGATTTTTCAAGAGAGAAGGACCTGTAAAAAGTTAACATAAGAGACAGGAGAGGAGCAACAGCTGGAATGGAGCTGTTTCAGGAATGGGACAGGTGTAGATGTGGTTTCAGGTCAAGGATGCAGCCAGTAGAAAGGAGAGGTGAATGCTCTGGAAGACAGAAGTAAGAGCCACAGCTCTCCTGCATCCCCTCCAGGACCCCGCCTGTGTGTACCTGGGTCCTGCTGCTGGGCCTCGCTGGGGAGCCGCTCCCGCTGCCGCAGGGCCTCCAGGCCTGCCAGGTCAGGCTGGTGGCAGTGGCTGCGCATCACCATCACCCGCCTACCCTGGGTGATGGCGCGGCTGCGGCAGCCCAGCCGGGCCTGGTCCCGGCACATCCAGTACACCTTCTCACCGGCGGCCTTCTCCTTCCTGTAGAGGAAGGACTCGTGCACCAGGAACTTGCCCCCGAGGGATGTCCTCAGGAACTCCAGGGGCTGCAGGGGCTCTGAAGGGGAAAGTGGTACATTGAGGGGCCACCAGAGCCCAGGTCTTGGCAACAGGAACAGAAGGCTGCCTGTCCCCCCAGCCAGGAAACTGCAATCCCCCAGTGGAATCTACTCTGGTCCCTGCTTCCTACCCCTCTATTCACCCTCTAGGGTCTGGGGACTTCAGGTCAGGCTTACTGGTCCAGGGCCCATAGTCAATGGCACTGACATCCACGAATGCAGACTGGCTCCATTTCTATGGCTTCAGTGCTGTCTGGAGAGGCTGCAGCTGCCCCAACTCTGAGCTGAGCTGGAAGCCTCCCCTGACCATCTAGACTCCATGTTTGTGGCTCTCAGGCCAAAGGGTGGGCCTTTCTGGTGGGCCCCTGTCTGATCTGGTCTGTGTGCCAAACATCTCCCAGCTCCCTGTCAACCACCCCTCATCAGCTGCCAATCAGGCAGATTCCCTTAGACTTTGGAGGAGCTGAACTAAAAAGAGGGAGGGAGAGAAGACAGAGGAAGACAACATGGAAGAGATAAGAGACTAGAAAGGGGACAGAGGGTCCCCAATGTCCAGGTGTTCTGCTCCATCACTGGGTACTATGTCCTGTGCCTTCTAATAATGGTCCCCTGTCCACTGCCCGCTTTTCTAGTGGCCTAAGCAGGTTTCTCCCGCCAGCAGCAGCTATTCCCAGAACAGAGTCAGCACCGTAAGTGCAGATGGAGCCCCTGTCTGAGGCTCACAGCTCAGGTAGGAGCAGAGTGAGCCAAGCAACGGGGAGTCCAGGGTCCAGTGCCTGCAGGTCCCTCTTACCGCACCTGGGCCTTCCCACTGGGACAGGTTGGGGAAATGCTCCCGCTGCCTCAGGGCCTCCAGGCCCCCCAGGTCTGGCGGGTGACAATGCCTGCGCATCACCATGACACGCTGGCCCTGGGTGATGGCGCGGCTGCGGCAGCCCATGCGTGCCTGGTCCCGGCACGTCCAGTACACCTTCTCACCAGCAGCCTTCTCCCGCCTGTAGAGGAAGGACTCATACACCAGGAAGCTGCCCCCCAGCGGGGTCTTCAGGAACTCGGGGCCTCCTGCAGAGACGTGGGAGAAGCAGTCAGTAAGGCAGAACCTGGAACCCAAACTTTGGGAGGGGAGGAGTGGGGGGGCATGCCTGTTCTCAGAACCAAGAGCAGTATGGACCCGAGTGAGAACCCCCCGCCCCCATTGCTTGCATCCCCTGGAGCCCAGGACATAGACTCAACCATCCCCCAAAAGCCAACTACACCTTCAGTTGCCAAGGTCCCCCTTTCCTGAGGCTGGAGGCTGGCCAGCCCGGCCCCTGCAGGTACAGGCTCCTCCTGACGCCTAGAGGATGGCAGTGTCTGTTGTGTTGCTTGTCTATCTATGCTGGAAGGCCCCCTTCCCCCCAGTTAAGAGGAATGAACCAACGCTTTTTGGGGACAAAGCAGCTCAGAGCTGGGAGGTGGGTGAGCCATGCGTGCCAGGGCTGTGGGAGGGTCATTTCCTGAGGCAGGCTGGGTGGAGATTTGAGTTGAGGGCTGTGGGCAGGAGTCCAGGAGTGGGGTACAGTGTCTTGGACATGTCGAGCAGACACAGGAGGATGGTCCTGCCTTCTGCCTGGAGGACTAGGACTCCCATGCAGGCATAGGGGCTGCACAGAGGTGGCCGGAAACAGATGGCAGTGGAAGCCGGGGGAGTAAGAGAGCCCTAAGAAGGTCATGGCCAGGTTAGAGATGTCTGGGACAGAACCACCTGGACAGAGGTGGAAGGGCCAGGATGTGGGAGGACACCTGCAGAAAACAGCTGCACAGGGGTCTGGGGACAGAGGAACACCAGCCAGGAGGAAGGGGGGACATCAGACTGAGAAGAATAAGCCATGTGACCATGGGGCATGGTTCAACTCCTTCCATGCTGGATTAAAATGTCTATCAGGGAATTAAATTGGCACATGGCACAAGGCCAGAGGTTTGGAGAGAAAAGGAGGAAACAGAAGGCCAGAGAAGCTGACAGAATGGCCTGGACAGAGGTAAATGTTTAAGGAAGGGGCAAACTGAGAAGTCAACCAAGCCTGGCAGGAATCCACAGAGAAGCCAGCTGGATCCAACAGCCGAGCCCAGACAGACCAGAAACTGGAGGCCTCAGGTCCTGGGCAGGCCCCACACGGGCCTGAGAGAGGTTTAATCACGTGGGGAAGAAGGATTTGGGGACAGACGTGAGATTCAAGGCAGGAAGGAAGGACATGGACAGATCTGGCCAGCATCTGCTTTCAGAATGAGCTGACCTTGCTCACCAGCACCTGAGACATGCTGCATGCTGAAGGACAGAGACGAGGGCAGGCAGGAGGAGACAGCGCTTTGAGGAACCAGGCTGCTGCTGTGGCAGCTGAAAGACAAAGGCCACCAGTTGCTGAGACCAGAAGGAACGTAAAGGAGACTTCCATTATGAAAACAGAAACTGAAAATCATAGCGATCAGAAAACAAAACTGAAGAAATCTCAGACAGCATTGCAAAAATGACCAGAGTCACCAGATCAACACCCGAGTAACCGAGCCTCACAGAGCAGCAAAAGGAGAGGCGTCATGGAGGAGCGCCAGCAGATACTCCGCACAAGAGTGAGAGCTGTGGCCTGAAAAGGTCCCTGGTGACATCACACAGCCAGGCACACCAGGGACGGCAGGAGACCCTGAGTCCTCCAGCAGAGCCCAGTCACACATGCACAGGGTCAAGTGTCAGAAAACTGCCATGTGGTTCCAGTCACACATGCACAGGGTCAGGTGTCAGAAAACTGCCATGTGGTTCCAGAACAGGGTCAGTGGCCACTGGGGGATACTATACAGCCACACAGTCCAGGTGCAGAGAGATTATCAATAGCTCCAGATGGTCAGGGTCTCAAATGGTCCCTCCCAGGTCACAGGCTCAGCAGTGACCAGAGAAGGGACCTCTCCAACCACAAAACAGGGGAACCAAGAAAAAGAAAGGCCCAGAGGCAGGGGGTCTGGTGAAGGGATCTTGGTCTGATGGCTGGGACTATCCCAGCTTCCAGACCAGGCTGGACCAGGGCCCAGAAGGACATCACCAGCAAGATGTGGAGCTGTTTGTTGATGTGATTGATGTGGGGAGTAATGAGAAATAGGAGGCAGCAGTGGGTCCCCAGAAAACCGAGCAGACAAATCCAACAACTGCCAACCACAGAGAAGACAAAGGGCTACACAGGGAAGGAGAGAACTGCAGGTATCCCAACACAGGGCAACAGGCTTCCACAACAAAGTGAAGACAAATCCTGCTCCATAAGCACCTTGAGAGGCCAATCCTGAATCCTCACTTCCTTTGGTTGAAATTAATGGGTGAAGAGGAAATGGAAAAGCCAGTGAAGAGTGGTAGAAACACGTATGAAGAAACAGGGCAGAAATAAGTGGTAGAGTGCCTGCCTAGCAAGGGCAAGGCCCCAAGTTCAAACTCCAGTACTGCAAAAAGGAAGGAAGGAAGGAAGGGAGGGAGGGAGAAAGGGAGGGATGAAGGGAAGGATGGAGAGAGGGAGGGAAGCAGCAAATTCCCTAAGAGACAACAGAAATGGCTCAGAGTGGCACCTGTGGTGGAGACAGGGACAAGGATGGGCAGGTGAGGTGGAAACGGAGTAAAAAGGGAGTCAGAAGGAACAGAATCATTATCTCAAGTTTGGGAGAATTTCAGGGCCAAAAGGCAACTCAGATGACTCCAAAACTCCAGGCCTAGGAGCCTGAGGCGGAAGGCAAAGACCTGGTGGGCAGCAGTGGAGAGCTGGCAAGGTGAGAAGGTGGGGCGGGATCACTCTTCTCCGGCAGACAAGGACGGCAACATTTACATTGCGCTGCCTGACGCCAAGAGTCAACACACCAGGCACCGTGCGGCGGCCAGACGTATCCAGACGCCAGAAGAGAGTTGTGACTCTGGAGTGCAGGTGTCTAGGGAGAAGGCTGGAGAGAGAAGGTCTCCATTCCAGGTAAATTTCACCTCCTCCCTCCCTCAGCCCCTGTGATGGGACAGATTTGTCACACACACTCCACCCCCCCTTATACTGCAAGAATGAGGCTAACCACAGACAGTCACAAATTTCCCTGTTGATGCAACAAACCCTTAAAACAATAGCGAAGAGGAGAGAAGGAACCTGGGTGGTTTTTTTTTTTTTTTTTTTGAGACAGGGTCTCACTGGGTAGCCCAGGTTGGCCTTGAACTTGCAATCCTTTGCCTTGGTGTTACAGGTGGCATGTCACACCAGGAAGGAGTCTGGGTTTATCAGAAGATTTCAGGGCAAGTTGGGCTGGATGAGTGGATTGAACTGAGCAGAAAGTGAGGGTGGACCCAGGAGGACACCCTGGTGGGTCATGGGAGTTGGAGGACAGGCAAGGGAGGGCCAGAAGAGAAGACTGTCTACTTCTAGAATGTTCACAAGAGGAGGAGGGTAGGCCCCATGTGAACCCAAGTACCTAGGTTCCCCCAGTGAGTGGGGCCGGAGCGTTTTTCGCGCTGCCTTAGGGTTTCCAATCCCAACAGGTCAGGTGGGTGGCAGTGGCCACGCATCACGGTCACCTGCCGGCCCTGGGTGATGGCGCGGCTGCGGCAGCCCATGCGTGCCTGGTCCCGGCACGTCCAGTACACCTTCTCACCAGCAGCCTTCTCCCGCCTGTAGAGGAAGGACTCGTGCACCAGGAAGCTGCCCCCCAGCGGGGTCTTCAGGAACTCGGGGCCCTCTGGAGGAAAGCAGAAGAGGCAGCCTTGGAGACAGGGCACAGGGAGGGGATCTCCTCCCCTGATGGAGGCAGCGCAGGCTGCGGATTCAGGGACGCTAGGCAGGCCAATTCCCCTGTCCACCTAGGCCTTAGGGAACAAGACTTGATGTGGGGTCCTCTCTCAGCGAGTCCCCAGGATGCAGACTTACCGGGGTCCAAATCCTGGTCTTCATGAGGGGACCCCTGTGGGGCTTCAAGCTGGGTGGCAAGCTCCTGATCTTTGACCTCTGCTCGCTTTCTGGGCCGAGGCCTGGTGAGTGTCAGGGTACCCGGCCCCCTGTGGTAGCACAGACTGTCCACACCTGGGAGCAGCTTATCCTCGCAGCCCCCAGGGCCATCCCGCCTGGCCTGCAGCTTCTCCATGGCCCGCTCCTGCTGTCGCCGGGCCTCCAGACCCTCCATATCAGGCGGGTGGCAGTGGCCACGCATGACCGTCACCCGCTGGCCCTGGGTGATGGCGCGGCTGCGGCAGCCATACAGCGCATGGTCCCGGCAGGTCCAGTACACCTTCTCCCCCACGGCCTTCTCCCGCTTGTAGAGGAAGACTGGTGCACCAGGAAGCTGCCACCATAGCACGTGCTCAGGAATTCGAGGGACCGAACCCGTCCTAGAGGAAGGATCCAGAGCAGTCATGCCACAGTGAGGACAGGAGCCCAGTTTCAGAAGGGGCAGCTCACCACCGAGCTGGGGTCTAGCAGGTGCTTTTCTCCTGTACACCTTGTGCCGGCAAGCGTGGAGCACCCGTCCATTCCCACTGATCTGCCCCAGGAGCCACCCAGAGAGGAGCTGGGGTTCCTCCCCAGGATTGGTGTAGAGACCTCAGCTCACAGGGTTAAACCATACCAGGTCATACCATTAAGGACTGAGTGGGCTCTGTCTTAGCAGGCTATGTTTCTGGTTACTCTTGGCCATATTTTTTAAACTTACTTTCTGAATAATATATGCATATGCCACTAAAAGTCAAATGGTACAAAAGATGCAGAGGAAAAGAAGGTCCCACCTAAGGACTGGCAGTGTAGCCAGTGGCAGAGCACTTGCTTAGCACGCAGGAGGCCCTGGGAACCCCACTCAATAAAAAATAAAACAAAACAAAACAGGTGTCAGTAATCCTAGCTACTTAGGAGGCTGAGATTGAGAGGACAACAGTTCAAAGCTAGCCCAAGCAAAAAGTTCAAGAGACTCCATCATCTCTAAAATAACCAGAACGAAATAAACTGGAGGTGAGATTCAAGTGGTAGAGTGTCTAACTTTGCAAGCATGAAGACTTGAATTCAAAGCCCAGTACTACCAAAAAAAAAAAAAAAGGATTAGATTGGAGGTGTGGCTCAAATGGCAGACTACTTGCCACACAAGCACAAGGCCTGAGTTCAAATCCCAGTACTACCTAGAATTCCCCACCCTGCACCAATACCCAGCACAATGATCTTTCAGGAGTCAGAAGGCACTCAGCCTTCTGGAGCCCAAGTTCACCTCCTAGTTGCTGATGATAAAAGCAGCCCTAAGAACTCATATCTGACTCTTACTGAGCCCCCGTCCCACCCATCGAGCTGGTGTTGGGCACTTCTTGAGCACTGACACCCACAACCTCATTGACAGTTCAGGTTATTACACTTGCCTTAGGATAAAGCTCCCAAAACCCCAAAATTTAAGCTAACTTTCTGAGGCTACAGAGCCACCATCAGGGGGATTGGAATCTGAACTTAAGACCCAAAGTCCATGACATCCTATTCAAATTTAATGACACCAGAATCAGTGGAGCACATTAAAATTCAGATTTTTAGGTCCCGCCCCAGGCCTTTGTTCATCAGAAAATTTTGGAAGGACCTGGTTCCCCCAGATCACAGCTGGTTCACGAGTAGTAGTGCTGTCCTGTGGGCTTAATAATTACTGGGACAAATTTATATTTTTGACCCTGAGCACATCTTGGAAAAACACACAGGACCCTACATTTCTATCTGGGCATGAAAGGCCCTGCAGATTCCTGCCTGCTTAGAGTGGGGAAGGAGAGGAGTGTACTCACCCATCCTCAGCTTGGAGCGTTTCTTGAGAGGCAGGCTCAGCAGTGAGAGTGCTCGGAACCCCTCGTTTTCCTCCAGGGCTGGCTTGTACTGCTCCTGCTCGGGGTTGGGCTCCGGCTCCTGGGGGTACAGCCATAGACTCACGCCCTCAAGTGGCTCTTCCACTTGGCCCCCAGGGTCCTCAGGACCTGGGGGGTCCCCCAAGCCCTCTGGCAGGGCTGAGCTGGGCAGCTTCTCCTTCTGGCGCCGGGCCTCCAGGCCCTCCTCATCAGGTGGGTGGCAGTGGTCTCTCATCACTGTGGCTTGCAGGCCTCGGGTGATGGCCCGGCCCCGGCAGCCCAGCTCTGCATGTTGGCGGCACTTCCAGTACACCTTGTCCCCCACAGCCTTCTCCTGCTTGTACAGGAACGACTTGTACACCAGGAGGCGGCCCCCAAACGGAGTCTTCAGGAACTCCAGGGGCTCAGGGGTAGCTGGGGACAAGGGGAGGGCTGGGTTACTGCTCTAGGGCAAGGCTGGAGGCGAAGGGTCTGCACGAGAGTCAGTGAGGGTGGGCTAGGGTCCTGGAGTGGGGCAGGGTCACTGTGGGGAGGCATGCCTCCTTGGACTTCTGGCTATTAGCCTATTAGGTGGGGAGTTTAAGGAGTTTAAGAAATTCTGCATATCAGTGTAATTCTCATGAGCTTAAAGAGGACCCAGGGCTACATGCACAGAAATGACATCCTATGTTTGGCACCCTAGCCCAGGACAGGGTGAGTGAGATTGGAGACAGGAGGCTCTACTGGAAGCAGAGGTGGGCCATCCAAGATGGCCTGGCTGGAAATGGGGGTGGGTGTGCAGGCCTGTGTCTCAGCATGCAAGCCCACAACAGTGGCAAAGCCAGGGCAGCAGGCCTGGATGTCTCACCTGTGTCCACCCTGCTGCGTTTCCGTGGGACTGTCGGCACCTGCTCCTTGGCTGGCAGGATCTGGAGAGTGCTGGCCAGAGCAGTGGGATCAGACACCTCCAAGGACACGACACAGTGCACTTCTGTGGGCTCAGAGCCCACTTCATCCCCGTCCTGCTCAGAGGCTGTAGTCAGCAGGACGAGATTGAACTCCTGGGGCTTGCTTGGGGCTGCTGGGACCACATCCGTGGCTGACTCAGGAGATGGCTCCTGGCCAGCCTTCATGCTCTCGCCCTCCTGCTCACTGGGCTCGGGAAGGGGCATCCTGAGATCACACTCAGCACCCCCTGGCAGACAGATTTTTCCTCCTCCTCCTCCTTGGCAAGAATCCTGGGAGTTCACGGGCTTTGTCCTAAGGAAGGAGGCAAACCAGTCAGTGGAGGAAGTCCTTGGGCTTGGGGCTCCAGCAAGTGAATTTAGGATGGAGCCTGGGGCAGGTCTGAGAAGCAGCCCAGTGGAAGTAGGGGTCCTGGGCTTGTGCTCCTGCTCTGCTGGTTCCCCTCCTTACAGCCCTAGGTACATCACTCCCCCATCCGGGTCTCACTTTCCCATGTGTGAACTGAACTGTAAGTGCCCCTCCAGGGCTCTTGGGTGAATAAGGCACTAATAACTGTGTTTCTACCTATGGAACCCTGTCCGTGCCCAGCACAGATGCAGTGTTCTCACAAGCTCTCCCATGTAAACATTCCAGCCTGTGTTATGAGTCAACTGTTCTTATTGACCCATGGTTTACAGATGAGGAACTGACTCACAGAAACCTGATATGCCTGAAGAGGAAGGAGTTTGAAGAGGTAGGAAGTTTAACCCTACTGTTTGTGCTCAGATGTCCAGGAACTTTTCTGGGCTTTCTTTGGTCTGGTGCACTTCACCTTGATACTATGCACCCATCTAAAGGAGTCTAAGCCAGGTGAGCACTAGCACTTTCTTGGCCAGACCTCTGAAGCTTGGTCCTGGGAAGAAGGACCTTCTGGGTTCACAAGGCCCGGCCTCTATCCTAGTTTGGAAACCAAAACCAGCCTGACTCTCAGAAGACGCTAGGGGCCCCAGGAGAGCAGCGTTCTTGTGTCTGGGCTGTGGCTGGCACCGCCTCAGCCGAGCAGGGCAGGGCCTGTGGAGGTGTGGGAGAAACCCTGGTGGTCACTGGGGGATCCTGGCTTCCAGCCTGGAGAAGAAAGTATGGATAAGGAGGCTAGGCTGGCCTGCAGACCCGGCCTTGGTGTGCTGCAGCATCAGTCATCAGTGTAGGCTAGCCTGTCTTTCTGGGACAGCAGGACAGTGTGCAGTTGGTGGGGTCTTTCCCACTTCCGAGGAAGCGCCCCCTACTGTAACACACCTTGGCATTTTTAGCTTCTTCACTGAGCACTGTCACCCCCACCACAAATTCTGTGATTCCAATTCCTGCGGGCCCCTACTTCTGCCCTGAGGTTCCCTGTTTTGAGGATCCCCAGTCAGTTCCCCAAAGGCCTGGTCAGCTTTAGGGTGAGGAGGTCAAAGTCTTTAACAACGTCCCCTGGACGCCCGCACTATTCGTCTGTCTGTCCAGGAGCGGTCCAGCTCTGGACAAGCCCACCCCACTCCCCGTGCCTCCCGCGTGGTCCTTCCCTGCCCTGCCTATCTCACCCCAGAGGGTGACGTGGGGTGTCAGAGGCCTGCGGCACCTGGGGACCCACCAAGGCAACGACCCCGCGGGCCCTTCCCGGGCAGGAAGGCATTAGTAGGAAGCCCCGCCCCCGTGCGCTGATTGGCCCGCCGCATGTCACTCTGCCGGCAGCCCGCCCCTCGGCTCCCACGCTCACTGCGGTCGGGGATGAATGGACCGACGGGAACAAATGGCTATGGCGTTCTCAGACCTGCGTCCTGGCCCGCGCAGCTTGGGCCCGATTGCCGCCGCGCTCCCTGCCCTCCGCCTCCGCCCTAGAAGCCTTTCAGACAACCCGGGCCAGCGTGGACGCGACTCGGGTTCAGCCCGCACGCCGTCGATCCCACGACGCAGTGGGACCGAATGGAGGCCGGCAGGCCTCTCCGCAGCCGCCGGGTCCTAGGCCAAAAAGCGCGCAGGCCAGACCTCCTCCCGGCGGGAGGCTCTTCCCACAGTAAGGTTGGCACAAGGAGAGAAGACCCCGCATTCCTAGGGAGCTGCACCCCAAGTCTGGGAACAGACAAGTGAGATTCTCTCAACTGAAATTTCTGCTTAAAAGGCTTCCAAGATTCACATACCTCAAAAGATAGGGAGCCGCTCCAACAAACAAAAGGACCAGCACTGCGCTCACTTTTTCCTGTGCGAAGACTGCCCATTAAAGGGCTTGCGCTGCTAGACAGTTTAAGGACCGCAGATCCTCCCTTTAACATATGCAGGCGCCTTTGCAGTGGGGCTTTGTCTCCACCCCTAGACTCTAGACTGACCTCGGTGGCTTGCTGTGACCAATAGGATGGCAGGAGCAGGCTGTGAGCGTTCCGAAGCCCTGGCTGTAGTGGGCCATGCCCCACAGTCTGCCAGGGAAGGAAGAAGGCAACTTAAAGACTCCAGACCTGGAAGATACCATTCTGCAACCAGCAGGCCCTCCAGCTGTATGTAGCCATGTGAGGGAGCTCAGGAAACCAGCGAGGAGGGCCCAGACACCGGAACCCTGATCAATGATATACTACTGCTATTTGAGGCCCATGATACCAGAGGGCATGTGTTCCAACAGGAACAACTGATACACCTGTCAAGTGACTGAACCTAGTGGGTTGACAAGTGGGATGATCTTACTGGTATCTGACACAGAAGTACTTTAGAACTCCAGAGAGCCGTGGTACACAAATGCTAAACCCTCACTGGACAGCAAATGAGAACCAGGTATATTAATTAACCCACCTGTGACATAAAATAAGGCAGATACAAAAGAACAAGTAATGCAGGAGCCCACTTACATGAGGTCCCTAGAGTGGTCAACTCCATACAGGGCGCTGGAGACTCACACCTGTAATCCTAGCTACTTGGGGGGCTGAGATCAGGAAGATCAAGGTTCAAGGTCAGCCCAGACAAATAGTTCACAGAGACCTCCATCTCCAAAATAACCAGAGCAAAATGAACTGGAGGAGTGACTCAAGCAGTAGAGCACCTGTTTTGCAAGGGCAAAGCCCTGAGGTTCAAACTCTAGTCTCACCAAAAAAAAAAAAAAAAAAAAGGAAAAAAGAAAGTAGTATGGAAGGTGCCAGAAGATGGGGAGGGGCAATGGAGACTTGGTGTTTAATGGAAATAGAATTGAGGTGGGGAGGATGAAAAAGCCCTGGAAATAGTGGGGGTGATGCATCATGATGAATGTTTGCCACTGAACTATACACTTAAAAATGGTTAGATTCTAAATTCCATGTTGTATTTATTTTACCACACACATTTCCCTGACCACATTGGTGAGGGAGGTTCATTTACAGCATAGATTTCTGAATATCGTTAAGTTATCCCTTCCTGATTAATGATTAAGAGCTGCGGGGGGATGGGGGTTACCAGTGGCTCACACCTGTAATCCTACTATTCAGGAGACAGAGATCAGGAGGACTGCAGTTCAAAGCTAGTCTGACAAATAGTTCACAAGACCCTATCTCGAAAATACCCATCACAAAAAGGGCTGGCAGAATGGCTCAAAGTGTAGGCCCTGAGTTCAAACCCCAGTACTGAAAAAAAAAGAGCTGGGGGTATAGCTCAGTGACAGAGCACTTGCCTATGGTATGTGAGGTCCTGAGTTCAAGTCCAGCACACACCCACACACCCACACTCTTACATACATAGAACTTCACATTTTATATAACTTAATAGGACTGCTGTCTTCATAAACTCTTTTCGCCCTCTGCACTGCCCAAGTGAACAGTGTACACATTTCTTCCTGCTTTAGAAGGTGAGGGTCTCCACCCAGTTCCATTGCCACTTCCCCTATCCTTTGGACCCTTCTCTCCACTGAAGGACCTGCTGTCTCTGGTCTCCAAACCTCTCTGTCTCTGCTGCTTTATAACCATTGGGCCATCAAAGTACTTAGGTTTCCTATATCCCTTACAGGATATACAGATGACAGTCACATCCTGACACTGACACGGCACTTGTCCTGGTGTGCTAGTTCTTGGAGAACCTTCTGGGGAGGGGTAGGCACTGCCCCTGTTAGTGTCCAGATCAGAAACATGTTCATCTGGGTCCCAGAAGGTTTAAGTTGGCCCTTTAGGGAGGTGGCACATGCTGTGGTGTATTGTAAATCCTTTTCTCTCTTTCTCGGGCTGCAGAGTTTTGGGGCAGGGAAAGCTCTCTAAAGCAGCCTGTCATCGTGAAGGTCAAATGCTTCAGAGGAAATGCTGAGGAGACTATCAAGTGGATGCAGGGGGAGGCTGTGTCCTGGTGACTGTAAGTCACACAAAGGGAGGTTCATTAAATGCTAACAAATTATTAAAAACAAAAACGAGTCCTCCTTCCCCCAGCCAACCAAATTTGCAAGTGTCTGGTCCTAACTCCACAGACACTGCCCTCTGCTCAGGCCACGGGCAGCTTCAGCACTTGCTCAGCTCCCCCATGAAGCCCCTTCTCCATCTCAGACACCTGCCTGGCCTTCCCAGAGTCCGTATGAGAGGACACCACAGAAGGTGGCCTATGTACACACACAGTTCTGATAACATGCTCAGTGCAAGAAGCCAGTCACCGAAGACTGAGTAGTGCAGGAGTCCCTTTACATGAACTGTCCAGAACGGGCCAATCTAGAACGGTGCTCTACTGCTTGAGCCAAGCCTCCAGCCCAAGAACGGGCCAATCTATAGAGACGTGAAGCAGATGAGCATGGACTGGCTGGAAGGGACCAGAGGCTGGGGAGTGGTGGCTGGGGGTGTGGGTTTACGTTTGGGGTAATGGAAGTATCAGAACGTCCACTGTGGTGATGGTTGCACAATGGCGAGAATGTATCGAAAACACTGATTTGTACACTGTAGACCAGGGAACTGTAGGGTATCTGAACTGTATCTTAGTAAAGTTGTTAAAAGGCAATCATTGGGGGTAGGACTTGCACAATGAGGTTCACTTGAACTGAAAAGGTTTTTTCATCCTTAGACAGCTCTTGTTCCTAGGCTTCGTTTCCTCATTGAAAGAGACAGGTGGTGTGAATTAGATGTTAAAATGTTATGATGCTCTCTAAGCTTTAATACTGTATTCTTTTTTTTTTTTGGCAGTACTGAAGTTTGAACTCAGGGACTTACACTTGCTAGGCAGGCACTGTACCACTTGAGCCACTCCACCAGCCCTTTAATACCGTATTCTAAAACCTATATGGAAACCATTTAAAAGTTTTGAGAACATAACACATGTAGATCACCTATAATTGTGCCACCCAAATAAAT